GGAGAGGGTTAAACCAAGCTACTCCTTGGAGGCAAAGATACTGGGGCTTCGTCTGACATACTTTGGACATGTTGCAAGGAGAGACAGGTCCTTGGAGAAGGACATCATGCTTGGGAGGGTGGAGGGACAGCGCAGGAGGGGAAGACCCTCTATGAGGTGGATTGATTCAGGGACTGGGGTAATCGGGATGGGTGTGTCAGAGGCAATGCGATTGGCACAGGATAGAGCAGGGTTTAGGGCTTTTGTACATAGGGTCGCTATGAGTCACAGACAACTCGACAGCACATAACAACAACAGCAACAACATATAAGCTCCTGCCTTCCTCTGGAGAATGCAGAAACTAGTATCTGTCCTGTCACTACCCAGGGGAAGTTTGTATACATTTACATTTCCAAATGCTACCTGCAATTCCTTAATCAATGTCTCAGGTTAAATAACATCAACAAGTCCGGCCAAAACACCTCAATAACACAAATCTGCTGCTCAACAACAAGTAACCCCTTCAGGTTTCCAAAATTAATTCAGTCCTCTCACTTCATGGTTCCTTAGCCTTGTTGGAAATGACCATTGAACAAGCTCTGCCTCAGAGCCATTCTATCTCCAACAAAAGACAACCCTGCTCAGTCCGGAATCATATTCACAATCACTGCTGGGCTGGAGCCCATTGTTGCAGCCACTGTGCCAATTTATCTCGTTAAAGGTATTTCTCTTTTTCACTGATCCTCCCTGTTACCAAGCATGATGTCTTTCTCTAGAGACTGGCCTTGAATGATAACATATCCAAAGTTAAGTGGAGATGGAGTCTCATCATCCTTACTTCTTGGGAGCGATGTGGTTTAAGATAGTTATTGTAGAGATCACTCTGATAGGACTAGAAATAGACACACATTGTTGTATCTAGTGCTTACCTATATGTCTTTCAGTCCTTTGACTCCTGAAGATGCAAACGACTTTCCATGCCAACTCCTTAACCTTACCATAACAGAATGCCAGGAAATTTTATTACTTAAAAGAAATTAGTGAAGCAAACGATGGCATTCAAGCAATAAAGAATCAATAGCTTCAAAGGAAGGGAGAGTGATGCATAGTGTTCCACAGAGATTCAAAGCAGTGTTCAAAGTATTCTTTGAAAGAGTTTCACAGTGTTCTTTCAGTCAGAAACAACACATTGTAAAGGCACTCTATTGTTGTTGACAGGTGTCATCAAGGCACCTACAACTCATAGCAACCCTAAGAACAATAGATAGTTCTATTATGTGTCATCCTCCTGATTCCTGCCATGCTCTTGAACAGTTAGGGTCGCTGTGTCAATTCATCTCTATGAAGGTCTTTCTCTCTTTTGATGAACTCTCCCAGCATAAGATCTTTCTCCAAGGACTGGCATCTCCTGACAACATGCCCAAAGTATGTGAGACAAAATTTCACCTTCATCTTCTAAATAGCACCCTAATTGCACTTTATCCAAGAGAGATTTGTTTGTTCTTATGGCAGTCCATGGTATGTATATTCAATGCTCTTTTCCAACATCACAATTCAAAAGCAACAATTCTTTGATTTCCTTATTTTTTTCCATAGTCTGTATACTGTTGGACTTGGTAGTTATACCTAGACTGGGAAGCTGTTGTGCGAACAGGGAAAGGGAACAAACACTACATAGTTTAAAATTACAAAGGGATTATGTCAGGGTTGTATTCTCTCTCCATACCTATTCAATCTGTATGCTGAGTAGATTGTTTGAGGAGGGGGATTCTGTGAAGAGGAATGTGGCTTCAGGATCAGAGGGAGACTCACCAATAATCTGCGTTTGCAGATGACACAACCTTGTTTGCTGAAAGTGAAGAAGACTTGATGTTCTTGTTGCAGAAGATCAAAGTGTACAGCCTTTAATATAAATTACATCTCAATGTCAAGGAAACAAAGATTCTTACCACTGGACTGATAGTTAACTTCATGCTAGAGGGAGAAAAGAGAAGTCAATAACTTGTGTTGTTTGGATCCACAATTAACACCCTTGGTATGAGCGATCAGGAAATCAGGAGATGTATTGCACTGGAAAAGTCTTCAGTTAGGGACTTCTCCAAATTATTGAAGAATAATAAGGTCAGTTTGAGAACGAAGTTACATCAGATTCAGGCTATGGTCTTTCCAATCACTATACATCTTAGAATTGGACACTGAATAAGGGTAATAGAAGAAGAATTTTGAGCTGCGGTGTTTGAGAAGAGTACTGAACATCTTATGATGGCCAAAAGAACAAACAAATATGTCTTGGAGAGGGTGCAGTCAGAATGCTCTTTGGAAGCAAAGATGAGGCTTCACCTCACATACTTCCAGCATGTTGCTTTGAGGGGCTATTCCTTGGTGAGGGACATAATTCTCTGAAAGGAGGAGGGTTGGCAAGGGGGAGGAGACCCTGAACCACATGGATTGACACGGTGACTGTCACAATGGGCTCTTCAGTGTCAGAAAGTTTGAGGGTGGCACAGAATAGGGTATGCTTCATATTTGTTGTTCATAGCGTCCCTATCCATAGTACTTGACAGCATCTAACAACAATAATAATGAAGCAATTGAAAATACCATGGCTCTGTCAGGCCCACGTTAGTCTGAAAAGTTTTATCTTTGTTCTCTAGCATTTTAAAGAAGTTCTTGATAACAGATTTTCCCAATGTAACATGCCTTTTGATTTCTTGATTGCTACCACCATAGGTTTGACTGTAGATCCACGTAAAATGAATTTTTGGTTAAGGTAGTGGGTTAAAGTCTCTCAGTAATGATGCCATTAAAACAGAAACCAGAATCAAGTGAGAGAACATCCTATGCAAAGGACGGGTACGCAGAGGTGAAGATGGGCTTTCAATCTGAGAATAGCAATTGCAAAGGCCTTGAAACTGGAAAAACCGAAGGGCACCTGAGTCACAGGAGAAGCACAAGAGCACTGCAGCTGGAGAACCCAATAGGAGCCAAAAATGGGCAACCCAAACCAGGGAGCCTGCCCCTGAAGGGTCTGAGTAGAGCACTGATCTCGGGACTTTGTGCAAGGTTCTTCCGTTAACTACCTGTTAGAGGGGATTGCCTGGGCAATGGAATCAGGTAGTTCAGGCGGTCCTGAAGATACCGGTGAGGGATAAGCCAAGGGAGACATCCCCGATGATCGCTATTCATATTCGCATAAGATTAGAGTCTGGATGGCAATACTCCAAAGTGTTGGGGTCACGCGGGACTCATTTAACCAGCGTAATCTGAGTTTTTGCATTATGCATTCCCAACCGGCCTTGACCCAGGGGCTCCGCGCGCCGGTAACAAGCCCAGCCCGCGGACGCAGGTTCCCGCGCCGGGGCGCCCGAAGGGCGGGCCTTCCTGACGCCGCGCCGGAAGTGCCCTCCCGGCCCGCCGCGCCGCGCCGCTGGAAGATGGCGCAGGAGGTTGGCGCCATGGAAGATGGGCAGCTTTCCGACTCGGATTCCGACATGACAGTTGCGCCTAGCGACAAGCCGCTGCAGGTGCCGGTGCGTGGGAAGGGTCGGCGGATAATTCCAGGCCAGGGGCATGGAGCCTTAGCTGCGATGAGGGTGAGGGACAGGCTGGAGTCCCCAGTCCGGGAAAGTGGAGCCCCTTCTACGAGGGGCAGTGCTCAGCGAGGATGGCAGCAGTGAGTGTGGGTGCCCTGCCGGGGGCCGCGCAGTTAGGTCAGGACCCGGCTGGTGCGTGGAGCCCGGGCTGTCGGAGGCGGCGCTTGGCGGGGCCTTGGGGACAACGGTGGCCCGGCAGCTTGTTGCGAGGCGGGCCCGCTGCCCTGGCAGCCTCCCCGCCGGCGAACATGTGACCGCTTTTCCTTCGCCTTCAGTACGCACATCGCTTTTGCATTTTCCTATCTTAGGGACTTCTCTCCAGCGGCCCAGAATTGTCTTGAAAGAGCGATTTTTGGGTTCAAACCGTGCAACCTGGGGACAATGGGGGGGGGGCTGGTGAGTGATGGTGGTGCAATGGCTAAAGCACTAGGTGTTAAGGAGAAGCTCGGCCAGCCACTTGGTGGGAAAATATGTGGCGGTCGGCTTCCAGCGATTTACCGCCTTGGAAGCTTACTGGGTAGAGATCAGCTCTGACCCACAAGGTCAGTTTGAGACCGAATTTACACAGTAGTAGCGGGATTTGGAGTTGGGAACGGAAGGAGAGACATTGGAAGGCGCCCTGGTGGCTCAGGGGCCAGGTATTTGGCTGCTAACAGAAAGATCAGAGGTTCCGGTCCATCAGCCCTTCCGAGAGAAAGATGTGACATTATTTTCCTGAAGGCTTCTGCCTTGCAAACCGTGTGGGGCAATTTCCTCTGCTCTCTAGGGTTGCCATGAGTCAGAATCCAGCCAGAGGGAGCTAATGGGTTTAATTTGGAGAAATTGCCCCCTGGGGGCTCATTTCACCCAGAGTCTCCTCTGAGTGGGAAGTTACACACTGCTCACCCACTGGTGGTCCCCCTCTGGTGGTTAGAATCCATCAGCAGCTCCACGGGAGAAAGGTGGACAATCTTCTGGGTGGTTTACAGCCTCCGAAAATCTGCTTGGAGGGTTAGCTGTGAGTCGTTTTCAACTCGACAGCAGTGAACTTGAGTTTGAGGCCCAGTGAGTCTTGAGACTCAGAAACCTATTCTTTCATAATGCTATCTGAAGTAGATTCCTCGTGTGGCACCCGAACACCAAGCATTGTGTTCATTTTCTTGCATTTTTTAGATGAGAGCCTTGGCTGCTGTGCTAGGTACTGAAATTCTTTGAGGCTAGGCTGTCCACATTGTAATCCTGGCACTGCCACTGTGTGACTTGCACAATTTTTTGTGGCTTTAGTGTCCTTATCTGTAGGACCATTGGGTGGAGTATATAGCACATAGAATTACTGGATAAATGTTACCTGCCGTTATTGTTTGCACGTAGATATTTCTGGCTAGTCTTGACCAAGGTGCTGAATTTGGGCCAATTCATTCTAGTTCAGTCCCCTGCTGAGAATTTGTTTTTTTGCACTCCTTCCCACCCAGTATACTGGATCAAAGCCTATATTGGTGTATACATAAGAATTGCCCGAGGATCTTGCTGTGTAGTACATTCTGGTATTTCTTTTCAACACAGTCGTTGTTATGTGCCTTCAAGCCAAACCAATGCATGGCTGACCCTCCAGTACACCAATGAGTTTTCCAGTGGCTGTAAATCACAAGGCAGAACATTACCCATCTTTGTCCTATGCATCAGCTGGGGGAGTCAAATTGTGCTTTTGGGTTGACAGTGCAACTCATAACATACTAAGCCACCACAGCTCCCTGGCACAGTAGTAGCTTGGGTTAATGTGTTTTGTGGTATTGCTTTTCTTTCACTTGCAGAAAGTATTAGGGGGAGACATCCCAGTGAGGCCCTTCCACAATACTGCAGCAGCATGTGCACCAGTATCACATTACCGGACTGTTACAAGTGTGGATTCCAGTGAAGACAGCTTTTCTGATTCAGATGATGACAGCGCTCTTTGGAAACGCAAGCGACAGAAATGTTTTAATCCTCCTCCCAAGCCAGAGCCATTTGACTTTGGTCAGAGTAGCCAGAAAGCATTTGTTGCCGGAACAAAGAAGGTTAACAATATATGGGGTGCTGTCCTGCAAGAGCAGAATCAAGATGCAGTGGCCACTGAACTTGGTATCTTGGGAATGGAGGGTACGATTGACAGAAGTCGACAATCGGAGACCTACAATTATTTGCTTGCTAAGAAACTCAAGAGGGAATCTCAAGAGCAATCAAAAGAATTAGACAAAGAGCTAGATGAATATATGCATGGTGGCAAAAAAGCAGACTCAAAGGAAGAGGAAAATGGGCAAGGTCATCTCAAACGGAAACGACCTGTCAGAGACAGATTAGGGAACAGAGTGGAAATGAACTATAAAGGTCGTTATGAAATCTCCGAGGAGGATCCTCAAGAGAAAGTGGCTGATGAAATTTCTTTCAGGTGAGCATTTATGTTTGTCCTCTAAATACCATAAACTTGAGCAAAATGTCCATCATCTGCAGAAAGTAGAATAAGCACCAAATATTTTAATAATGATCCTTTTTTTTTTTTGCATTTATTTTTCTTTCTTTTTTTTTTTTTAATAATTTAGGTTGTTTATTTTTCATTTCAATGAACATCTACAGAGATTTTGGGATTCCATTCATTCATTGTTGCACCCTTCTCCCCGCACAATAATGATCCTTTTTGAGTCTTTTTAATTTAAGGAAAAATCTCTAGGCTTCCTTGCAACATTCTACTAATATATTTTCTTAAATGTAGACAGACCTGATAGAATGAAAAGATGGAATTTTTTTTTTTTTTAATTTTTGTGTGAGTGTACCGTCAAATCACATCTGACTGGTACAGGAGGAGATTGTCCCTCCTTCCCTGGCAGAGCATCTGGTGGATTCGAACTGTGCGCCTCTGGGGTTGTAGTTGCACCTCCTTACCACTAGGCCACCAGAGCTCCCCGAAAAGATGGACTTTTTAGCAACTATTCTTAAATAAGGACTTAGAACTCTTTGGATAAATCTTATCTTTTTTTAATCATGTGGGGATTTTTTGGTCTTCATTGGGTTGGGTTTTTTTTGTGTGGTTTTTTTGGGGGGGGGGGTTTAAGTGTTTCAAGCTGTTAGGGAACATTGAGTAGGAATTGACTCACACAGGTGACCCTCCAGTAGGTTTTCAAAGGCAGTAAATCGTATTAATTTACCACAATAAATTACCCTGAGCAGCTGGTGGATTTGAACCTTGTATCTTTGAGTTGGCAGTGCTGCTCCTTGCCATAGACTGAGAGCCCTGTTTCAAGCATGGGAATATCCCCTCCTTTTTTAAAGTAACATTGAAGTGTACCTCGCATGAAATAAAATCTAACAGTTTCAAATACAAGTAGTCCCTGAGTTTTGATAGTATTTTTTTCCGGTGACTTCCAGTCAAACATCTTTTTCAAAAAATTTTATTTAATACTACTTTTATTACCAATATCATTTTAATTCCAGTCTTTATTTCCCTTTAGGGGTTGGAAACATAAACTTACAGATTTATTTGAATGTATACAGAGAAAAAAAGTAAAACTGTATTCTGATAATAAAGAGTTAGTTGGCACTGCCAATTTGTCACTTGTGGCAATAACTCCACTTGTGGAAAGTTCTGGATTCTCTGGAAATGGGATTGGCATGTCTGGTGAGGAAATTAGGTTTTTATGGGTCCTTTTTTTTCTTATATGTTTTGTGGTTATATTTCATTACTTCCTGAATTGGCCTGTTGACATCAGCAAATTGATCAGCCTTTGCGTTCATGTTTTCAAGGAATCAGAGTGCCTGATTTCGTTTCGAAAATGGAATCTTTTGCAGTGTTTTGAACAGTGATAAAATTGAACACCCACAAGTGACCATCTGCGAATGGTAACAGCAGTAAATATAAGCGACAACATGTACTGTTATATATTGCTGACTTGTTGTGTACGGTCAAGTGGGAGTCAGTCCATAGCTAACACTCTGGCGGGATTTCAGAGGCAGTAAATCACATGTCCTCCTCCCATGGAGCAGCTGGTGAACTCAGACTCCATGCCTTTGGGTTAGTGGTGCAGTTCCTTAAACACTATCTGTACCAAACACAACAACAAACAGTAATAAGTGTAGTTCATTGTAATGCAAATCATAGCTTGGAGACTGTAATTTTACTGAATTATACAGCCGTCACCGTGGACTGATTTTAAAACATTTTCATATTCCAGTAAGATTCTTCATACCCGTTTTTACTTAATCCCCAGTCCCATCTCCAGCCTTAGGTAACCACTAAGCGGTTTTCTTCCTCTAGAGCTTTGCTTACCCTGGACATTTCATGTGAGGACATGTTTTATGTGGTCTCTTGAGTCTGGCCTTGACTTAGCATAATAATTAAAAAAAAAAATATCCTTACTGTAGTGAGATTCTTCCTTTTGATTTCTGAATAGTGGTCTGTTGTTTGGAATTACCATATTTTGTATATCTGTTCACTAAGTGGTGGATAGTTACACTTTTGGACCATTTCAAGTAGCACTTCTCTGAATTTACTTGATTCTTCAGACATATATTTCTGCTTCTCCTGCCTAGTAGAATTGCTCTGGATAGAAAATTTATAAGTCATGTATTTTGACAAGTTCAGAATTAGATATGAAAGATTTCATTAACTTTAAGTTACTAATGAATAAGGTCACACATCTGAAAATAGATTAACTGTTCAATAGTAGTATAGCTGGGAGAAAAACACGTGTCTGCTTTCCAGGCAAACCTATCAACACCAGATTTTTAAAATATTGAGGGACTTTGAGTGCTAGAAAAGAATTGGAGATTTTGTAAACCAAAGTCTTCATTACAAACAAGGAACTGAGGCCCAGTGGTTGGGCGGTGTGCCTGAGTCACGGATTTCATTTGTGCCAGACCCTGGTCTAAGTCCTGGTCCCTTTGTTCCTCATCTATTATTCCACTGTCTACTTTTAAGAAGGGACCAAAGAGTCTAGGTACATCTTGGGGACTGGTAATATTTCTCCACTGTAATGCTCCCTATCTCTTTAGAGTATAGCCTCTGTCATTGAAAGAATTGTAACTGGGCTTCCTGTATTTTTATATCAGTGACAAAATACCATGTATCTATAAGGTTAAAAGAATTAAATGAGATCATTTTATACAGTCTCTTTGAATTTTGTTTATCCTATTATAACCTATGATTATATAGTAGCTACTTTTTAGGTTTTTTTCCAGAAGCTGGGAACTTTTCCATTTTTAATCTCACAGACATCTCTAGAATTGGGCAAGCTAGCTCTTGGCATATGAGCTCTGCTGGCATAGTTGGGGGTTATTCTGCTAACTGAGGCAGTGCTTCTGGCATTTTTAATTCCCCTGTAGCTGTGCAGTTTTAGATGGTCCTCCTCCTCCTTTACCATTTACAGCTTCAGAAACCAGCTGCGGGGTCAGCTGTAAGTTCTGACTTAACAGTTTGAGGATTTCCTTTTTCGTTCTGGAGGCCTGTTTTTTTTTTTTAAAAAAAAAAACTCTTAGTCCTTCACTAGCATATTGCAGGTTCATTTCCAGGCCACTGCAATACAGTGAATATCACAACGGGAGTTATACATTCTTTTGGTTTCCTAGTAAACATAAAAAATTATGTTTACTCAGTAGTCTACTAAGTCCACAGTACCATTATGAAAAAGTTTGAAATAGTATGAGAATTTCCAAAATGTGACAGAAAAGTGATGCCCATAGACTTGCTCAGTGCAGGGTCTTTTCAATCTTCATTTTGTTTAAAAAATAAAAACTTCTGTGAAGTGCAGTAAAATGAGCTGTACTTGTAATTAAAAATCATATGCTTGCTGTTGTTTTGTTTGAGCATCTAGCTTGCATTCATTTTGCTGTGTGTGCACTTTTATTTCGACATACGATAGAGCAAATGGGAGACAGAGTATGAAACTTGAGATGGAACCTTGAGGTTGCTATCTTCTCTGGTGACCCAAGGCAAAGGATATTTCCATGCCTGTGACGCCACAGTTAAATGGTGAAGATTTAGAAAAGCAAATGTTAATAGAATTTCCATCACAGTTGAATACTAAGGTGTACTTCTTCAATTTAGTGTAACAAATTAAGATGTTAATATTGCTTTATTTGTTCCATATTAGGTTACAAGAACCAAAGAAAGATCTGATTGCTCGAGTAGTGAGGATAATTGGGAACAAAAAGGCAATTGAGCTTCTTATGGAAACTGCTGAAATTGAACAAAACGGTGGCCTTTTTATAATGGTAAGCCTGCTTTATTGCTTCTGTTTTTATATTGTGTATCATGTGATTTTCTTCTGAGTCAAAACTTCATGAGCATTGAAGACCGAATAAACAATTTATTATACTAGGTTGTTGAAATTAACACTTTTCGTACTTGAGGTCAACCATATACTGTTAGTAAACAATCAGAAACATATCTCTTACAGCATTTCTTTAGAATCAACTTTAAAGACAGGAGAGCCTGGACATTGAGGTTTGGGGTGTATGGGCTTTGAAAGCTGAGTGCCTTGGTTGAGTTCTGGTTTTGAAAGTTTCAGCTTTCAGTTTTGTCTATATTATTTGGCTTCTTTGAGCCTCTGTCCACTGATTTTTAGGAAGATTCAAGCCCAAATTCTCTCTGAAAAAAAAAATTTTTTTTTCTTTTTCCTTGGACAGTTCTTTTTTTTTTTTTAAATTTAGGTTGTTTATTTTTCATTTCAATGAACATCTACAGAGATTTTGGGATTCCATTCATTCATTGTTGCACCCTTCTCCCCGCACACACCCCATTTGCTCCTCACCTTGAAAAGCAAAAGAAAAACTCCCTCATTGGTACACCCCCCCCGCACCTCCCCCACCCCCACCCCCTACCCCCAAATACAATCCACTCTTAATTGAGTACCTACAGTGTGCCTTTGCATAAGTGCAATCAAGTATTCTGGGATTCCCCTTTTCCTCTAGGTTAATCACAATTTGTTGTGATCCACACAGTCAGATTCCTTTGCTTAGTCAATGAAACACAGATAGATATCCATCTGGTACTCTTTGCTTTCTGCCATGATCCATCTGATACCCAGCTTGTATTTCTGGTAGTTCTCTGTCAATGCACTGTTCTGGTCGTTTTTGGATGATCTATGTACTATTTGGATAATCATATATATTATTTTGGATTATCAGACATATCATTAGCAAATAGTTTTCCCCCATCTGTGGATTTCCTTTTTACCCTAATGGAGAAGGTTTTTGATGCATACAAGGATTTGGTGGGTTTTTTTTTGTTTTGGGGTTTGTTGGTTTTTGTTTTTTGGTTTATTTTTTTTTTCGCAACAAATACATTTATTGAGAATACTAAGCCCATGTCTTAAAATGTTGAATATTTGATATGGAACAATGCTTTCCATTTAAATTCAAAAGAGGATTTAAATTACGGTTACAAAACAGTATGTTCAAGAAGAATGAGTTTTAAAATAAAAATTATAGTGAGAAAGTCTAAGAAGATGTACAGCAAAATGTAATCAATTTTTTCTTTTTACTTCACTGCTCTCTGTACATGTATATATGAGCTGTACATTTTATTTGCTTTTAATAAAGGTTAACAGGATTTGGGTTCAGTAGAAAAAACCTTCAGTGCCTTGTTCTGAACTTAATTTTGCTAGTAATCACTTCTCAGTGTTTTAAATACACTTGCTCAAAATCAAAGTTCATTTTGTTTGGAGCAATTCTAGTTTGAGAATCAAATCGTCAAATAAATGACAAAGCAAATGGGCATAAAATGTGAGGAAAACAAGTGACAAAATAACCACAAACTTTGTCCTACTGGCCATTACAGTATAATAAATTTACAGTTAACCAAAAAACATTTTTATTTTGGTCTTCAAACAACAAACTGTTTACTTTTATCCCAAAGTAATCATGATTAACTTACAAAAATTGGCATTTACAATTTATCTCAAAACATTTCCCTGTAACAGGAAATTTAGCATTACAGAATTTCAAGATTAGAAGTTTGTTTAAAAAAAAATCCATTTTGTTGCCTTTATAAAACAAAATAGGAGCTAGCAATCAGTCAAGAAAATCCACTCATACTTCAGGTCCTTCTCCAGGAACCAGCATTGTTATATTATTTCCATTGAGCAGAATCTGATCTAATTTAGTAATTCTTCTTCCTTCTGGTGTGATTTCAAACTCAGTGACATCTTCCAAGACCATATTGAAAAAGTCATCAAAACCTAGAAGCGTGCCAACGATTTCCTTATCACTCTTCATCACAATATGAATCCTTGATCCTATACATTTGTCTACAAGTTCTAGCGGCAGTAGTTGCCACGGGTTGGTGGTAGCATTAGCCGCCATGGCTACGCCAGAAGTGGCCTTCTTGTTTTTTTAAAAAAATTTTATTTTAGGCAAGCTCTGGTGGCCTGGTGGTGGGAAACTGCACTTCAATCCCAGAGGTACGCGGTTCGAGTCCACCAGATGCTCTGCTGAAGCCGGAGGAACAATAATCTCCTGTACCAGTCAGATCCAATTTGATGGTACACACATAAAAAGAATGAATGAATGATTTTTAAAAATTTATTTTATTAATTTTAATGAACATTTACAGAGATTTTGGATTCCTGTTCACTCACTGTTGCACTTTTCTCCCTGCCCAGACCTCCCCCAACCTCAGTTCGCTCCTCTCTTTGAAAAGAAAAAGTCTTTCTTTGGTATACAATCCCCCTGCACCCCTCCCACCTCCCCGAATATATTCCACTGTGCAACCTTAATTCTGGACTCTTGTGATAACCATAATACCCTATCATATATTGCTTTTAATAATTCTCTCCCTCATCTGTTTCAATGCAGTATACACAATTTATCCAGTTTTTCTCAGTCTTACCCCAACCCTGATGTCAATCCCATTCTACAACAGTGGCACTATGCAGTATTTGTCCTTTTGTGACTGAGAAATTTCACTCAGCATAATGTCCTCCAAGGTCACCCATTTTGAATAATATTGCATGACTTCCTTGTTTTTCAATGCAGTGTAGTATTCCATTGTGTGAATATACCACAGCTTCTCTATCAGTTTGTTTGTTGATGGGAAGGATTTGGTTTTGAGAAGGTCCCATTCATCTATTTTACAAATGTTGATTTTTAGCTATACTGGAAAATGTACTCATACCAGGGTTTCTAAGTTTGTTCCTATTTTTTTCTCTGATGAACTGTATAGTTTTTGGTTTTATTCTAGGCCCCTGATCCACCTTGAGTTGATTTTTGTGTATGATGTGAGGTGTGGATCTTGTTTCAGTTTTCTACAAATAGTTATCCAATTTTGCCAGCACCATTTGTTAAAAGTGACTATTGTCTTCTCACTTAATTGATTTTGTTTCCTTGCCAAAGGGCAATTGACCATAGGTATAGGTAGGTGGACTGATTTTTGTGCTCTTGATTCTTTTTCATTGATCTATGTATCGCTGCATTGGTACCGTGCTGTCTTGACTACTATGGCTCTGTAGTAAGTTTTGAGGTCAGAGGAGTGTGATACCTCCTACCTTGTTTTTCTTTTTCAGTACTTCTTTGCTTATGTGGGGTCTCTTTCCTTTCCAGATAAAGTCAGAAATTGTCTTTTCCACCTCATTAAAGAATGTCATCCATATCATTATTAGGATTGCCTTGGATACTTTGCGGAATTGGTCAACTATGCCCAACAATTTTCTTGCTTAGGTTTTGGGGTTTTCTATGTGTACTATCTCATCTACATATAAGGGTAGTCTTACCTCCTCTTTGCTAATTGGGTCCCTCTTATTTTCTTCTCTTGCCGTATTGGCCTTGCTGGGACTTCCAATACAATATATTGAATAGGAATGGTGATAGTAGGCATTATTGCCTAGTCCCCGTTTTCAGGAAGAATACCTTTAATCTTTCTCCATTGAGGATTCTATTGGCTGCTGCTTTAGAGTATAGACTGTTACTTATGTTGAGGAAATTCTCTGTTCCTATTTTGTTCAGTGTTTTCATTAGTAAAGGGTATTGGATTTTTTCATAAAGCCTTTTCCGCATCAATTGAGATGATCATGTCATTCTTGTCTTTTTTTAATTGGTGTGATTGTTTATTGTGTGGTGTGGTGTTTATTTTTCTTATGTTGAATCATCCTTGCATGCCTAGTTGTGTATTAGTATTTTAATATGGTGTTAAATTCTGTTGGCTAATATTTTTCTTAGGGATTTTTGCTTCTATATTCATGAGAGGTTATTGGTCAGTAGGTGAGGGGTTTTTTTTTTTGGTTTTTTTTTTGTTTTTTTTTTTTGTTTTTGTTTTTTGGTTTTTGGTGTGTTTTTTAGGGTTTTTGTTTGTTTGTTTTAGTATTGTCTTTACCAGGCTTTCGTATCAGAGTTAAATTTACTTCATAGAGTGAGTTTGAGAGTTTACCTTCTTTTTCTGTTTTCTGTAGAGTTGGTGACAATTCTTCTCTGACCATTTGGTAAAATTTGCTGGTAAAGCCATCTGGCTCAGGGACTTTTGTTTGTGGGGAGTCCTTTATGATGTGCTTAGTTTCTTTTGTGATGGATTATCTTGCTTTCTGCTGGGGTGCAGTGGGTGCTGTGGGCTGGGTCTTGGGGCTCCTTTCTCCCAGCTGTTGGCATGACCGAAGAGTGGTAGTGGACTAGGTACCTTTCTTGGTTTCTTGACTGCTATTACCCTGCATGTTGATTGTGAATCTGAGTAAAATCTAATTGTTGACAGCGTCAATCTTTTCTCCATCTATCACTATGTCACCTTTTGGTTGCATTGATGAGGATTTTTGGTTTTTTAGAGTTGAGATGTAATCTATAGTAAAGGCAAAGTCTTTGATCTTCTATTGCAAATGCATCAAGTCCTCCATTTTCAGCAAACAAGGTTGTGTTGTCTGTATAAACAGGTTGATTAGTCTTCTGCCCATCCTGATACCACATTCTTCTTCCTAAGGTCTGGCTTCTTAGATGATTTGCTTACCATATTGAATAGGTGTGGAGAAAAAACCACAACTTTGATACACACTTTCCTGATTTTTAACCATGCAGTGTTTCCTTTGTTCTGTTCGGACAACAACTTTTTGGTCTAGGTAATAGGTTAAGTGTTCTGAGATTCATATTCTTCTCAGTGTTTTCCATAATTTGTTATGGATAACAATATCCTAAGGAAACTCCACTTATAACTAATTTGTACTATATAACAGTGAGGGTGGCATTCCACCCTTAATCCACCTATACTTATTTGGTTTATCCAGATCGTGGAAAATCATGACTTAGCTCCTGTATCATATACATATATCTTGGAATAACACAATTTATTCCATAACAGTATTGAAAAATCAATATTAATTCAAGAAAATTCTGATAAAATTAAGTAAAAACAGGCATACTTCTGCCCTAGTACAATTCAGCTTACTTTCTTCACCCTAAATCTTGGTCTGGTGTGAACAAGGGATCTCCAGTGAAAAAATAGCAATATACACTAGAAGCTCAACATCAGGAAAGCAAAGATTCTCACCTCTGGACCTGTTGGCAGCACCATGATAGGTGAATAAGAGATTGAAATTGTTAACAGTTTCACTTAGTTCCACAATCAACACTTTTGGCACCACAATCAGGAAATCAGAAAACTAATTTCTCAGGGATCTCTCCAGAGTGCCGAAGAGAGCATCAGTGTCAGTCTAGATTAAGGTGAACCTGATCTAAGCCAAGGTCTTTGCAATTACTAATTATGCATCAGAGGGCTGGACAGTGACTAAGTATGACAGGAAAATTGGATGCTTTTAAGTTGTGATTCTGGATAAGGGTATTGAACATACCAGGGACTGCCAAGAGAACAAACAGGTCTGTCCTAGAGAGGATGAAACCATGCTGCTCCTTGGAGGCAAGGATTTTGAAGCTCCATCTCACATGTTTTGGGCATGTTGCCAGGATGGTCCAGTCTTGGAGAAGGCCATTGTGCTTTGAAGAGTGGAGGGACAGCACAGGAGAGAAAGACCATGGATGAGATGGATTGACACAGTAACTGGGGTCATGAGGATAGGTTTTCCGAGACAGTGAGATTGGCTCAGGATAGGGCAGGATAGGCTCACTGTAAGTTGCAGGTGACTTGATGGCACATAACACCAACCACATCTTTTTGGAGATATTATATAAAGATAACCTAGGGGGTTTTTTGTGTATTTTTTTTATAATTGCTTAGTAATCTAAAACTAATTTGTTGCCAGTGAGTTAGAACCAATTCATAGTGATCCATCAGCAGACTAGAAATTGCATAGAGGAGAAGAGATAAGAGATCACCTGTCTTTCTCCCTCAGAGCTGCTAGTAGATTGGAACCACTACAGAGGTGCTGCCTTTGGATTAATCCTATAGATTATGCCATCAGAGCTCTCTGGATGCTTAGTTGCTAGTTGTTGTTGGGTGCTATTGAGTAAACTATAACTCATAGCAACCCCATGAAAACGGATTTGAACTTGCCCTGTTCTTTGACATCCTCATCATCCCTGATATACTCAAGCTTATTGCTGCAGTCTCTGTTTTGAACCATCCTGTTGACGGTTTTCTCTTCTTTGACCTTTCATCTTTCCCAGCATGATGTCTTAATTTCAAGAAATGGTCTTTCCTGACGTTGTACTAAAAGTGTGATTGTTGTTGTTATGTGCCGTCGAGTTGCCTGTGACTCCTGGTGACCTTATGTACAACAACTCTGAAACCTGCCCTGTCCTGAGCCAGTCTCGCTGACTCCAGCACACCTACCCCAGTTACTGTGTCAATCTGTCTCACCCAGGTTCTTCTCCTGTGCTGTCCCGTCACAAGCATGATGTCCTTCTCCAAGGACTGATCCCTCCTGACCATGTGCCCAAAGTATGTGAAATGGAGCTTCAAAAAAAGTGTGATTAGCAGTATATCTTAGTGTATGATGGCTTGTATGTGCACGCACATATGTGTATGTGTGTGTATCATATTACACGGTATTGTTAGGTGTTGTTGAGTCGAGTGTGACTTTATGAACAACAGATCTGAACCTTGTGCTATTCAGAGCCATCGTCATTATCTCTCAAACGCTGCAGCCCATTATGACAATCACTGTGTCAATCTGTCTTGTTAGCGTGTACATTTTATAAATCATAAAGGTTAAGAGACAAAAAAATCATTTGTTTAGAAACTTTTCTTTCATAGGTGAAGAAATCCATACTAATAATTTTTATAATTTCTTCATGTTAGTCATTTTATAAGGGTCAAATCAGGACTGGACTTTGGGCCTGATATTCACCTATATCCTTGGGCCTCTTCTAAAGCTTTGGGTTATTTCTCCGTTTAAGAGAGTCTTGACTATACATGGAAAGTCTGTACAAAAGTCTATCATATAATATTTTGGTTTCTCTTTGTAGAATGGTAGTCGAAGAAGAACACCAGGTGGAGTTTTTCTGAATCTCCTGAAAAACACTCCTAGTATCAGTGAGGAACAAATTAAGGTAAACATTATAATGTTCCTGACTTTTGATGTCCATTGTAATTTGACTTCCACTTAACTGCCCTTAAATTTCTGCTGTTCCACATCACCTGCTTTTCCTTAAATGAACTGATTTTTTTATTGTCTCATTTCAAGTAAACCTTTTGTTTCCTTCCCTTACTTTCATTGCATATTTATTTTATCTCAAAGACACTGTAATCATTTGTAAAATGAACCTAATATTTGTTTTGTGAAACAAAAATCATGAGCATAAAGGGCCTAATTTGTGGTACATTCTAAATAAGTATTTCTTATTTACTGAAGTTCCTTTATTACAGGACATTTTCTACATTGAAAATCAAAGGGAATATGAAAATAAAAAAGCTGCTAGGAAGAGGAGAACACAGTTGTTGGGGAAGAAGATGAAACAAGCTATTAAAAGTCTAAATTTTCAAGAGGAAGATGATACATCACGAGAAACTTTTGCAAGTGACACAAATGAGGCGCTGGCCTCTCTTGATGAACCGCAGGAAGGACATGGAGAGGCGAAGCTGGACGCTGAGGAAGCCATTGAGATCGATCATTCGAATGATCTAGACATCTTTTAATGATACTGACATTTTCAACATTTGGTAGAATAAACCTTTCTGGAATAATAGTGATAAACCTCTCCTCTACCGAGAACTCTTTGTTGAACTTCAAACTGATAAACCTGAAAATCTGGAGGCAAGAATTGTTGTAAACAAAAATGAATCTGTGGGAAGATGAGTTATGATTGTCTCCTAAAAACACTTCAAAATTTCTCATATCTGACAAAACTTTTTAAAATTCATAGATGATTTCATTCCTCTGTCTCTTGCATGTGAGTATCAGTAGATGATACTCTGTTTTTTTCCAGGTCATGACATGCTATTTAAAAATTTGTTTCTCTGATTGACCTTCACAATGAATAAGTAAAACCAATTGCTTTGGTTTCAAAACATTCCACTAAAAGGTCATGATGAGACGAGGAAAGATCCCAGTGACTTCAACTACTAAGCAGTAGGTTCTGTTAGTGTAACGAGTACAGCTTGAGAAACCCGGAGGGGCAGCGCTGTGGTGTCGCATGGGGTCACCATGAGCCAAAGACTCAACACCAAGAACAGTGAAATACATAAATTGTTAAGTTACTACAGCTGCACTCAAATTTCATCTTTTCTGTATTCTAGAAATTTAGGCCACCTTTATGTTAGACAGTAAAAATCACTTTATATGGATGATTTTCCCCCATTTAATTGGTTGGTCAGGAGTAAGTAAATGTTAGAAGCTTTTCAGAGAGCTATTGTTTCTTTAGCTTTATTTTTCACTGTTTATTAATGTACTTGGTCATATACTAAATACTGAATGTGATCCAAACCTGTGTGTTAACATGGACATTGAAAATTCCCAGTGGCAGTCTGCCTAGGAATGCTTCACTTTATGTCAAGGAAGTTAGATGTTAACAGTGTCAAAATCTGCATGAAGTTTTACATTTTTATTAATGACAAAAGTAATTAAGATGTTCCAAGAATTGATTATAGTTTACATAATATATTAACCAAAATGTGTTGGAAGCAATTATATATTATTCTTTGCAAACCATGTATTAAAGTCTTTTTAGTAGTTCCTGAAATAAATCGGCATTGACATTACATCTCATTGGGAAAAGAGAAGGAAAGTTATTGGTTGCTTTTTTTTAATTTATAAATAGTAAATAAAAGTAAAATTGAAGTTTTTGGAAGTCCTTTATGAGTTTCAAGAGACTTTATTATTTTTTGTATGTGTACCGTCAAATCAGATCTGACTTGTACAAGAGGAGATTGCCCCTCCTTCTCCAGCAGAGCGTCTGGTGGATTCTAACCGTACCCCTGGGGTTGCAATGCAGCTGCTTGCCACTAGACCACCAGAGCTCCCTGAGACTTTTATTTTTAATTTCAAGGATTTCATGAAATTGCTATAATCAGAGGAAGGTCTATTTTAAATAGGTAACTTGTGTTTGCATTTAACTAAAATTACAGTAACGGGTGATTTTAAAAATCTTGTGTATATTAGGAAAGATAAAAGGGTTTTCAAGCTCTGTCTTACATACTCTGAGCATGTTGCCAAGAGGGACAAGGCCTTGGAGAAGGACATCATGCTTGGAAGGGTGGAGGATCAGGCAGAAGAGGAAGACCCTGGATAAGATGGGTTGACACCATGACTGTGTCAGTGGCATCACATGTGTCAGATGGTTGAGTTGGCTCAGGATAGGACAAGAGCTATTGTTCATAGGGTCGCAATAAGTGTTAGTTGGCTTGATGACACATAACAACAAGTGCTGTCTGCTTTGTTGTTGTTGTTAAGTGCCGTCGAGTCG